AGCAGGAATAACACAAGAGAACAAGAGAACAAATAAAAGATGGAGAGATGGACACCATCCAGAAGAGAACAGCAGCTGCACAACAGAATAGCTTCAGCTCCCTTTTGCTGGTACAAGTGTGGAGTCTCTACTATGCAACTTGCCAAGCCATTTCTTTGGGAAACACTTTTTCTTGAAGTTTTCCCCTCTTTTTATTTCTCCCTTTCCCCCTCCTTCCTCTCTCCTGCTCCCCCCTCCCCCTAGGTACAGATACGTTTCTCTCAGCTGCTTCTGTGCCTGTGACTTTACTGCATGGGGGAAGTCAGTCCGGAAGGTCACCTCTTTCATCAAGTATTCTATTTGCATCCAAAATTGTATGTACATGAAAAATGTGGTCGTGTGTTGCACCTAGCTGCAGACGCAGATGAAATTCTGTGGAAAGCCTGATGCACACTAACCTTTGCAGATGGTGCAGCTATTGCTGAAAAATGGATTGCTTAATAAAGCATATCATCCGACATATTTGCTGCTTGGCTAGCCAAATAGAAGTTGTTTTTTGCACAAATTTCCTTGTCAAATTTGTCAATGTTCATGTCATTTTTGCTTTAGGTCACAGAGCAAGGTGCAAATTCTTGGCATCTTTACTAGTTGCAAGCCAATTTCGGCTATTTCTAACAATGAAGTGAATTTCTCAGAGGATAAGACACTCACTTTATGGGGAGAAAAGGAAAACATCAGGAAGTGGATAATTTTTTTTTTCTGGGATATTTTTATTGTTTTCTTTTTTTCCTTTTCTTTTTCTCTTTCTTTTCTGAGGGCTAATCCGTGCACTCATTTAAGGATCTTGTTTAATTCATAGCAGAGAAAAAGGAGCCTTTTATCCCATTAAATGATTTATTCTGTTTGATTATTTGGCGAAAGATGCACATCGGTTTTGTTTTGTTTTTGCATTGGTGCACAGAAAACATATCCCTTTGTGCAAGAGGGAAACTTGCAAGAGAAGAAAAGATCCATTCCTTTGGGATTCTCAGATGTGAAAAGAAGGGAATTCCCCCTTTCAAGTGTTTGCTAGAAGAGTCTTCCCCCATCTCCATTTTTTTAAGCTTAACAATATCTTACGCTCAAAGCCACATAATGTATCTGTTTTGTTTGTTTTCCTACCTGCTCTATATTCTTTGGCTCTGCTTACAGAGACATCATGTTCCCAGGTCAGAAACACTGTTTTCAAGCCTATTTCAGACCCTTTTGCAAGACAGTTCATTCCCAGACATAGTCATAGCAAGCAGATCAACTCAGCAGCAAAAGTGAAGAATGCCATTACCATGTTTGCTACGACAACACCCTCAGCCAGGAGAGTCTTTTAAAACTGCAGCATGCTCTTATTGCACAGCCATAAGACAGTGTCAGTCTGGCGCTTGGTCTGAGGCAGTGGGGTGCAGTCCATTATGAGGGCCACAAGGTACCCAGAGCAGCTAACGTGAGCAAATATGGTGCATGCTTGGGAAAGGCTGGAGCCTCGTTCCAGCCCTTCCACCCCACATTGCACAGCCAACCCAGGTCACTGGAAGGAGGGCACTGCTGGACCTCAGTGGCCACGGATGCAGATCAGCACCTCCTCCTTCAATAATTACACATGCCATGCTGGCAGCACACTCTTTGGGGTGCAGAGCTCCACATCCAGCCCTCCATAAGGAAGACTGCAATTTAAGTATCAAGTGGGTTATTTATTTCGCATTTCTCTTTCTGTTCGGTACCTTAACAGATTCAGTGTTTTCCATTCCCTAGTAACAGATACATTCCTCTCTGGGCTGTTTTATATTCCTGCAGCAGTTATGTTTCTTTCTTTGGAGGATTCATTTCTCTCTGAATTCCCACCTCAAAGTCCTTTATCAAGCATAACCTTTTCCAAAGATGCACCATTTGCCTAGCGCATCCTCCAGCTGATCTGTTCTTGTCACAGGAGGACTTTGCTGCAGGACACGGACATTTGACATACCCCCATTTGCCGCCCAAAGAGGCTGCCCCTTCAGAAAGTATATTCCTCTGCAAGGAGCATTTTGTTTACAAGGTTTATTTTGTTAGCAGGTGTATTCCCACTAGTAAGTTTTCCACTGCACCATTTTTTTTAAAGGTCTTGTTTGGTAGCCAGATAGCCGAGACTGCCTGTGATAAAGCCAGCACAAGTGATTAATAGCAAAGTCTCTGCCATTTTATTATTAATAGCAGTGTGTTGACTCAATTAAATCCAGCCTGCTTTTTTTGGCAGGCCTCTGCAATTATACATATCATTATGGGCTGCAGCCCAAATGCATCCTGGGAGTAGACCAGAACTCCACATTAACTTTTTCTGGCTCTCTCTCTTTGCAGGTTGGCTACTAATGTATGGGCTATAACCAGTCCGGGCTGCTTCGGGATGAAAAGATAGAAAGAAAAGGACAAATGGCAGAGGTGGCCATCACACCTAAAAAGGGCATGCTTCCCCACAGCCATAAAAACCCTGGCAAGCACATGCTGGATCCTTCCCTCCACACTGAACCCCATAAACACAGTGCAATGGGTCTGGACAGTACCTGTTCCCAGCAGGGGTGATTTTCCAGCACATTGAGGGTAGTGGATGTCCAGTAATTACTTCCAAAACAGACTTGCAAGCAGCTTGGCCTGGCTTG